GAAAGAGTGGAAGCATGTGCAAAATGAGCAGTGCACAGGGAGACAAAAAGAACTGAGGACTGAGGAAAAGGAAGGTGAATTCTCCTGTTCAGTGAGTCTAAATGTCTGAAAAGCAGAAGCATAATGGCAAGTTAATGTCCTCTCAAGCTTCCAAGATACCAGTGGGACTCACTCCAGTGTGTGCAGACCGTGTGATTCATGTCTTCTGCCTGCAACGTTTTATACCTGTGGAAACCAGCATCACTTAAGAGTTGGAACCTGGGGATCAAAGACAGGAGAGCTGAGTTTCAGCTTCAGCCCTGTTAACAACTTCCAGCAGGTAGTTTCATGAGCAAGCTCCAGGCTGGGGATATCAGTGCCTCTCTGTTCTGCTGAGATGGTCCTTTACGGGCGCTCACAGAGGAATATCAGTGCAAGCAAACAACTGCACCTGGACACAAAGCTCAGACTATTGGATTGTCCCTCTTTCCAAGCTTCCTCTTTGTCCCCTTCCTCTTCTCCCTTGGCACTGGTATAATCCCTGAAGCAAACAGAATTCAGCTGATTTTGGACACTGATCTCTAAATTTTGTCTCTAGTGTCTTCTATGTGTCTTGTCACCAGATCAAGAGGATGGAACTAAACACACTCTTCTTAATCCAGATTTCAACATCTTCTGTCTCCTTTTTAATCACTCTGGAATGTCAGCAGCCTTTTGTTTGCTGTTTGCACTTTATATCAGGCATCTCTGCCCACTGAGAACTCTTCAAGTCCTCCAACACAGGCCATTCCTAACTTCTGAAGAGTCTCAAAGACACAGTCTTCCATGTGCAACCAGACAGTTAAAGTTCTTGCCCAGAATTCTCCTAACTGAGCATCCATTCAAGATGTTTGGTTTTTTTTCCTCTAACATCTCTAAATGTGCTACTACCAGCTCCTACCCCCAGCAATAACAGTGTAGAGACTGTTGGCTTGATCCCTTCCTTCCTTCTGAGCCCTTCCACCAGCTCTGCCTTCTAGCATAAAATGAAGCTGCACACTTACACTTCCCTGTGATACAATCCACACAATTTATCTTGCTCACCCATCAGGGAGGCTTTTAAGACTAAATTAATACAAACTAGTAAGAGAAGACCAGCACATTTTAAGCAGCTTTAAAAGTGCAAAGCATCTGAATGGGAGGATTACTAATATCCTAAATAAAGCAACAACTAGACAAAGTACAGGCTTGTTATAATTCTGTAGAAATGATTTTTTTAATCCAGATTTACAAATTAAAGTCAGCTAAACAAATAAACAGAAACAAGGGGATTAAAAAATTTGTCTAAAGCAGCTTTGTAAAGAGGAGCTGAAATAATGTCATCATTTAAACAAGTGCCAGCAAACAAGGTCAAACAAGGTGGTATGTTTTCCCTCCAAGCTACACACCATGGGTTAGTTCTGTCTACACAAGACATTGAAACCATCCCCTGCTTAGCCACAAGAAGAGAGTTTTTTACAGACATCACTATCTGGCAGCCTCCTTATAAACCATGACACTCCCGAGCTCATGCTGAAGCTCCTTTCTAGGAAATTAGATTTACTGCTTCATAATCAAGTACTGGGAAAACCTGATTTGAAAGTAAAACTAGAATAACACGAATCAGTTCCAGTATTTCAGTGTCCGTGGTTTGGGGACTGAAAAACCCCAAACAGAAATAGCTCCTTCCACTGTGCCCCATACTCAGAGCCTCAGATGTGGTGGCAGGGTCAGGTGGAGAAAGTTCTTAGCCTGTCTTTGGTGAGCTGCACAGGCTGCTTTCTTCTGAGACAGCATGGGAGGCAACTCACCACCTCCTGCATATCCACCAAGCCCCATCTTTAAGGCCTTTTGTAGACATCAAGGTTCTGCAGTTCCAAATCTGGTTTCTTAATGACTCTTTCTTGAAGTCTCTTCTTCCTTTCCAGACTGGAGACCTGGGATTTCTCCCTAGAATTTCCAAGCTCTAGTAAAGAAGTAACATTCACATCCTGGGCCTTATTAACTCCTGTCCCTCTCAGCTTCAGACTCATGACTAAAATCTTAGCAGACCTCTCACGATGTGAACATGCTGCTTTTTCCTAAACCAAAACCTCTTCCATGAGCAGAACATCTCCAGCCTCCTTTTCAAGGCAAGTTCTGCAGAGGCATTAGCTGATCTCCCTGTTTGTTTTCATCCACACGTAGTGTGAGTTGTCCCACCCAGGTTTTAGCCAGCCCATGACAGACAAGCATACATACTTGTAGTACTCCACTTTCTAGGCCATGGGAATAGGCTTATGGATAAGATATGAGTTTGCCAAGCTTGTTTCTGACCTAGAAAAGCTGTCTCTCAACTCACTACATAACTCTTCAGTGGCCTGTACGAAATGATGTTTAATGAAGCTGGCAGAGAGAGTAATGAAAGCCCCAAGGGTTTTGTTACATTCGAGCTTGCACAGCATGACTCCCCTGGAATTATTTTCTAATGCTGGGCTATAAACCCAAGGAGAGATCTGGCAATCTAGCAGGGAAAGAAGCACTTCTGAGGACTCCTTTTTTCAATCTGTAAAGCCTAGTGATCTTGGGGAAGAATACATTAGAGATAAAAAAAAAAAGGTAGGGCCTTTTCTGTGTGGAAGGCTGTAGAAGAAAGAGAAAGGGAAATGTCACATGCTCAGCCAGATCACAGACCAAAACATGGCCAGGAACTACTCCAGAATTTCTACTGGAAATTTCTACTCTTTTCTTCCTCAATAGTGCTCTCATTTCCCCCCGATCATGAAAAAAACTTTCTATTCTTATATTCCATGTAGGGGATAGTTCTCAGAGCTGTGTTACCATCTTTCATGCCCAGGACTTTCAAAAGAAGACTGAGATCCTCTTCAAGAAAAAGCACATCTTGCTTCTGGTCTTTTGAGGTGAACTGTAGCTTTGACATATAAATAAGCCCACCCTTGAGCCCATGTAATTTCAGGCCAAACATGGAGATGACAAATCCATTTGCTGGGCAAGCTGAGTGAATAATGACTGTTAATTATTGATCAGTCACATGAAATACTTAGAATAAGAAATATCATGCAAAACTAATTGAAGGACTTTAAAAACAGAGTTCAAAACAAAATAACTCAAAATCTGTACAAAGCAACCCATGCACAGTCACACACACTGGAGAAATACAGATCAGTGGAAAATATTCTGAATTATAATGAATATTTGGACTTTAAAATGCTGGGCAATGGAAACAATACTTTGCTAAAAATATGCAAAGGCTGTTCCAGTTTTCCTGTTGAAACCAACAATGAGCACTTGGCAGTGGTAGATTGCTGCAGGCTGGAGTTGCTTCTCCATCTCACTATTTCAGGGTATTAATTGCAAGCAGAAAGAATGTGACACTCCAGACAAGCAGGGAGCTCCCTCCAAGTTCCTGGACAGGCAGGGGAGCCACAAAGCAAGTGGCACTGCTGCCATACCCTAAAGGTCCTCTGTGCCTAAGGAAAAGGTGCTGAAGGAGGAGGAAGTCAATGTGATCTCAGTTGCTTCTCATTGTGCAGCAACGAAAGAGGGAAGCAGCAGCACCCTCTGTGTGTGAAACTTTCACTTAGTGTGTGACACAGCACAACACTGTCTGCTGGAAAAGGGGGTGTATGTGATTTCTGGCCATCCCAAAGGGATACAACATCTTGCTCTGCCTCCCATCCTCTCTGCAGTGACAACAGAGGATCACCTTCGTAGACTCAGTAATTACATGAATGAGCAGCACTATTTTAAAAGGTGCCAGTCCTTCAAAAATCATCCCTAAAATTTGGATTTCTGGTGCTGCAAGAAGGTACTTAAGACCAAGAATGTGAAATTAAGAGGGTGTACAGGGTGGTAGTGGCTGGAGAATGACTTTTTGTTAGAGTAGCCTGAAAGGAAAAATACAGTTGTATTGGTGTGCTCTATGCCTGTCTCTGACAAACTTGCAATTTCACTGACATCAAAAGCCAAAATAGGAGAAAAACCTTCCAGAGGAAGGAGAAAAAGCACCATACAGTGGCAGCAAGAAGTGATGCAAAGCAGTGATATGAAGATGTGGTGTGTGATTCAGAGTGAAAAGGAGGTGATCAATAACTTCCTAAGTAGGTGATGTCACTTATCAAATGAAGCATCATGGGAACAAGCAGCATAAACAAGGAGGGTTCAACTGTGGGGAGGGGGTAGTGGAGGGGGGTTGAAGCAGTGACTCAGAGAAGGCATCAAAGCCTGGGTAAGGGGGGAGGCGCTGAGGGCACTGATCAGCTTTAGTGACCCTGACCAGCTGCAGCTGGAGCCTCCACCCACATCCACTGCCCATTGGCCTCCCAGCCCCATTTAAGCTCAGACCTGGGCTTCTCTTCCTTTCCTAAGCTGTATTGGAGTGTTCTGGTGTTTCACTGTGGACACTGCTGGTCCAGACCTCAGCCTGGCTTCCCAACTTTACCTTGGACCAGCATCATCATATGAAATTTGCATGACCATCTCTGCTTCTAGGAGATCCTGGCCACAATCTCTGGGTCTGCTCTGCCTGCCTTATTCAGGTACTGTAAATAATTGATTGCTACAGCAGTGGGTTGTGCTGCCATCCAGAGGGAGAAGGGGTTGATAGGTACTTCAGGAAGTTGAGGAAGGGGAAGTGCAAAGTCCTGCACCTAGGGAGGAATGGTCCTCTGCACCAGGCTATGCTGGGGGCTGGCTGACTGGAAAGCAGCTCTGCAGAAAAGGACCTGGGGGTCCTGGTGGACACCAAATTGTCTGTGAGCAGCAATATGACCTTGTGACAAAAAAGGCTAATGGTATCTGGGGCTGTGTTAGGAGTCTCACTGACAGGGTGAGGGAGGTGATCTTTCCTCTCTACTTACCACTGGTGAGACCATGCCTGGAGTACTGTGTCTGGTTCTGGACTCCCCAGTAGAAGAGTAAGATGGAGCTACTGGAGTGGGTTCCGTGAAGGGCTGTGCAGATGATTAAGGGACTGGAGTGTTATATCAGGAGAAGCTGAGAGAGCTGTGACTCCAGCCCAGAGAAGGCTTGGGGGGACTCTTATCAATGTACCTAAATACCCAAGGGGCAGGTGTAAAGAAGATGGAACCAGACTCCTTTAGGTGGCCCCTGGGGACAGGACCAGAGACAATGGGCACAAACTGAAATCCAGAAGGTTCCATCTCTTCAATATAAGGGTGACTGAGCACTGACACAGGCTGTCTAAAGAGGTTGTTGAGTTTTCATCCTTGGAGATATTTAAAAGCTCTCCCCAGGATGTGATTCTGGAGACCTGGCTCTAGGTGGCCCTGTGTGAACAGAGGGGTTGGGTAAGATCACCTTCAGAGGTCCCTTCCAGCCTCAATGATTCTGTGATTCCATGATTCTGTCCCCCTGGGAGGTGTTACTGCTTTGGCTCCCCATCCCTGGGACCCAGCTGCTTCCTGCCAGTAGATAATGAACAGGATGTGTTGAACAGGGCTGTCACCTTGAGCATACCAAGTAGGTGCAAGGAAGAAACATCTCAGTACCTGGTCTGAGTCTAATTACTCCTAGAACACTGTTCCCCCTCTGGCTGTGCACCCATTACAAATTGGGGTAAGTCCAGAGTTGTGGAAATGACCAGAGTGTGACAGATTGTGTTCTGCAGTAAAAATGTCAAAACACTTGGTATCCTGGGGTGCAGTAAGAGGAGTGTGTCCAGCAGATGAAGGGAGGTTCTTCTCCCCCTCTACTCGGCCCTGGTGAGACCTCACTTGGAGTATTGTGTCCAGTTCTGGGCTCCCCAGTTCCAGAGGGACAGGGATCTACTGGGGAGAGTCCAAGGGAGGCTACAAGGATGATGAAGGGACTGGAACACCTGCCTGATGAGGAAAGGCTGAGAGACCTGGGGCTGTTCAGTCTAGAGAGGAGAAGACTGATGGAGGCATCTAATTAATGTCTATCAATACATGAGGGCATCAAGAAGGCAGGGACAAGCTCTTGTCACTTGTGCCCTGAGATAGGACAAGGGGAATGGATTCAAACTGGAGCCCAGGAAGTTCCACCTCAACATGAGGAAGAACTTCTTTGCTGTGAGGGTGACAGAGCCCTGGGACAGGCTGCCCAGAGAGGCTGTGGAGTCTCCTTCTCTGGAGCCTTTCCAGCCCTGTCTGGATGCCTTTCTGAGTGACCTGCCCTGGTTTGGGTACTGCTCTGGCAGGGGGGTTGGACTTGATGATCTTCAGAGGTCCCTCCCAACCCTTGATATTCTGTGATTTATTCTGCAAAACGTATGAGTTAACTTCAGCAGAGTCTGTAACCAGCTACAAAATCACAGAAAGGTGAGGCTGAGGAAGTTCCAGAACAGAATTCAAAAACTTGTCTGGAGATGAGGTGCAAGTATTTAATCCAATGGATGAGAGATGTAGTCTGGCCAGTTCAGTTTGGAAATAAGATACAGATAATGTTTCTACTAGAAACTTTCAACTAGAGATGGCATCTGTCCTTAGAATGCCCTCTAGCTCAGTTTCAGCACCAAAATAAGCAGATCAGATCTAAACAGCCCTTCTGGCTAAACTGTCATTGTGACTGGGACTTTGCAAATGGATTATTTACGTTGGCATGATTTATCAGAATGTAGCAAAGAATGCCCATTCTAGCCACCTGGTCATTCCTGCCAGGCTTCTGCACAGATCCTTCCTGCCAAAGCACACACTGCAACTCCTGACAGGTCAGCCCTACATGTGTCCAAAGCACTGTACTCTTCAAATCACCTGGTAAACTTGGCAATAATTCATGCCTCTTCACCTGAACCTTGCAACAGCCACGGATCCTCCTCACAAGGGTTGTTAGGCCAATGTTTAAAAACCACTTTAGTGAGGAGTACAGCATGGCTGCTAATGAGGAGAAGGGAACTGCCAAAAAAAGTGTTTCTATGGCCTGAAATGAGCTTTCACGGAGCTTACAAGGGCTTGTGAGTGAGAGGACAAGGGGAAATGGATGAAAACTGGAAGAGGGGAGGTTGAGGTGAGACATGAGGAGGGAATTGTGGAGTGTGAGGGTGGTGAGAGCCTGGCCCAGGTTGCCCAGGGAAGCTGTGGCTGCCCCATCCCTGGCAGTGTTGAAGGGCAGGTTGGATGGGGCTTGGAGCAACCTGGGCTGGTGGGAGGTGTCCCTGCCCATGCAGGGGGGTTGGATCTGGATGATCTTTCAGGTCCCTTCCAACTCAAACCAGTCTATGATTATTGTGCAGAGTGCAAGAGGCCTGAGAAGTACCCAGGGAAGGGTAGTGTTGTGGTGAGCTTTCTCTGAAACAGAATGGATGTTTTCCAAGTGCTCCATTACCTGTCTAACTGTATTTGAGTGCTACTATCAACAGGCAGAGCTGAAAGATATATATTTTTTTTTTACATCTCAGCAGTGCATCAAAGGTTTTATTTAAATTGCTCTCATAAAAAATTAATGAAGGCATTATCTTGCTGGGCTACAAAATGGCAGGAGTGGATCCCAGTGAGATGAAATATTCTTAAAATACAACTGTCAAAACATTTTTATATTAATATATCCCTGAGTGACTCTGCACATGCACTTGCAGTACAGAACTAGACCAGGAGAAGGAGAATTTCAGGCAGACTTGCTTGTAACATGAAACAAAGCCAGGACTCAACAGGATTTAAAATGAGCTGACTGCTCATGATCTATAGGTGAAGCTGCCTCTGAAGTGAGGGGAAGTTACTCTTTTCAAGAAAGAGGTGGCATCAAGTGAGAATCTAGTGTGGTGTGACTTTTTTTGAGCTTAATAATGCAGCAACAACTTTCCTCCTTGGATGCCACCTATGGGTGTGGTGTATCTTAGCCTGGGCAGCAGTGAGTGCCAGGGAATCCCACTTCTGCTGGGAGTAAAGCCACGTCACACCCCCCAGCTCTGCTGTTGGCTGCACAGTCAGCAAGCACCGCAGCTCCAACCCTTACCTATCACGGCTGCCTTGCGGATGGGCCGAGGGGAGGCACTTCTCCAGGACGCTCCACGGGGTGTTGTCCACTTCTGCACGGCTCTCTCTGCAAAGAACACGTACTGCAGGGCCTGGGCCTGCCCGGAGCTCAGGAGCACCTCGAACAGCTCCCGCTCCCTGCGCACGCCCTCGGCAAAGGGCAGCCTGGTGGCTGCTCTCACCGCCTGGAAGCACAGCTCCGGAGCCAGGAAACCACGGGCCTGTTTCTTCAGCTTCACAAAAGCCTCGTTGAGAAACGCTTCCATGTCGGGCAGTTTTGGAACCGGCTTCAGGCTGAGCCTGCGAGGTCCCACTGGCTGGTCTGGGGGTAGAAAAATAGAGGCACTGAACAAAGCAGAAGGGGCTCCAGGAAAGCTGGGGAGGGACTTGGGACAAGGGCAGGGAGGGAGAGGACAAGGGGGAAGGGATGAAAACTGGCAGAGGGAGATTGAGGTGAGACATGAGGAGGGAATTGTGGAGTGTGAGGGTGGTGAGAGCCTGGCCCAGGTTGCCCAGGGAAGCTGTGGCTGCCCCATCCCTGGCAGTGTTGAAGGGCAGGTTGGATGGGGCTTGGAGCAACCTGGGCTGGTGGGAGGTGTCCCTGCCCATGCAGGGGGGTGATCTGGATGATCTTTAGGGTCCATTCCATCCCAAATCAGTCTGTGAATGTATGTAGAAGACTACAGACCTTCACCCCTTTCTACAGACTCGGAATGTAGTCTCTTTCCTCCTCAGCTTGCTGCATTAGGGCTTGTGTGGCACATCAGGGTCTAGAACTGAACTGACATTTCTCTTCAGCTTTCTGCTTGCTGTGGCAATTACAATTTTTCAAGTCCCTTCAGATTTCAAAAAAGCAAGATTTCAATTTCAAAGCAGTAATTCTTTCCTTCTTTTTCTCAGCTGCACAGTGTGCTCTGACTACTCCAGTTCTCTTACATTGCTCAGTCCCAGCTGCCACACCTATAAGGCTGTTTCTATAAGCTGCAGGACTAAAGCTTTCCTGCAGTATCATTTAGTACCTGATGCCCAACTGACTTTGCTGGCCAGGTGCATTCCAGCCAGGGTCCTGACCCAGGCATTTAGAAGACAGACTGAGAAATACACCCTGACTTCAATTCTTCCTTGACAGCAGGAGCTCCTTTGTTTACTTTGAGACAAGCCAAGAGGACAGCTAACACAGCATGAGTTGGGGAGCAAATGAGTAACAAGGGAGAGCTCATGCTTCTGTGTCAGCAAGGGGTGAATCAAGCAGCCACACAAATACCTGAGGCTCATTACAGACAGAGGTTGCTATGGTGATACCTAGACAGGATTTTAATTGAGAGAAGTTAGTTACACTTCAGATGCCAAAATCCTCTCCAACCTCTTCAGAAGTACAAACCTTGGTGCCTGCTGTGAGACCTCTGATCTGTCCATACTCAGGTTCTTCCTATGCTCTCAAAGGCAGCTTTTCTCCATAAAGATCATGGAGGAACAAGATCAGAGAAATTCAGGATGCATTCCCTCAATATTCCAACATTTTCACAAACTCTTGTCATCACAGCCACACCCACATCATTGACTGACTGTGCAGCCATGTTACTGCACTGGCTGCTGCAGTGCTGTTCCCAGAAGCACCTAGGATGGCCACCAAAGCAGGATGGTGGGTGGACCCCTCTCATGGGAACCTTCTGCTGAGAAGCTTTCTGGTATACAGTCTCATTGCCCTAGCTTCTGTGATAAGCTCTGCCATGGGAGCATGCTTCCATGGAAGGTGGCATATTGCATCCCCTTTTTCTTCATGCTGAGCTAGGGAAGTGCTGGTGCACCAGCAGAAGCCTCAGGAGCAGGAATCACACATAGGATGCAGAGCAGCAGTAATGGCAGCACTGCAGTCACAGCTGCCCAAGGAACATGTCCTGACTCCAGCTCCAAGGAACAGAAACATGAGTTTCCAGGATGAGTTAAGACACTGATTTCCTGACATAAAGGTCTTCAGAGATCAGGCTTTTTAGACTAGCCTTTTAGAAAACATGGCAATGAACACTTGCTGGGCAAGTAGCTTCCCTTGCAATCAGGGTTCATAAAAATAATGTTTTCCCATTAACAGTGAATGTAGCTGGTATCTGCCAGCATTGCAGGATTTAGTCAGGATAATGCTCCTTTGTTTTGGAAACCTTTGTTTCTCCCCTAAATATGTGTTTTTAACCCAGAAATGTTCTTTATGCATGGTCCTTTATTTAGAATTTAAATAGTGGGTTCCACTAGAGGAAACCTCAGGTCTGTCCCAGGAAGCAGATCTGATGGCCGAAAGGTCACTTAGACCAACAAATCAAAGGACTTCATATGACATCTCTGATGTGGAAAGGACTGGTAAAAAATGAATACTACTGGGAACCATTAAGCATGGTCTTCAGATAGTAAATAGTACTTGTAAGCACAAACACTGATGGGGGGGACATGAGTTAGTTCCTCAGAGTGAAAAAGAAAAGTAGTTCTCAGGGTCATGTAACAGAACTTTTATTTAGCTGTAAGCTAAATAGATCATGTGAAGTATTTCTTCAGCATCTCATTGCAGTGCCTTTGCTTCTGGGATGCTAATAATAATCAGAGGCATAATTATGAACAGGAAAAAAGGATCTGAATCCAAACCTGGGAAGAAGAAATCAGCATGGGACACTTGTGGCTTGATTTCTGAAATCAAAGCAGCAGGAACAAGATGAACAGACATTGGTAGTGCAGGGGAAAGCATCACCCCTGCTCAGGCACAGATACCTGCTTTGTTTTACTAGGGTTTGTGGTCCAGGTGGCACAAAGGACAGACCAAGTCTAAAATTCCTACCAGCAAAAGCAGCACGTAAGCATGCAATGTCAAAAATGGTGCTATTTAAAGCAACAACAAAACCCAAATGATCCCAGAGTTGTAAACCCTGGGGATACTATAGGAGTCTGCATGCAAGAGGCAGAGCTAGCCCAGCCTTCCTGGTGCACTGAACTGCTGGTGGGTTTGAGACACAAAGCTGACAGTGGACCCCTGCTCCTCAGGGCTGCCTTTCACAGACTGGTTCTGTCAGAGAAGCACTTTGCTGGACCTTCTGCCTGAAGGTTGCAGCCAGAATCATGAGCCCTGCAGAGATTAAATTGCCTTTGTGTTGTCTATCACCCCAGAGATGATGATGTGCTGAAAGCCCTTGCAGCTGTCAGAAAGCCTTTCTCCAGAAGGCTCCATTTAGAGCATGCAATTACCAGTTCCTCCTTTGGGCTTTATGTGCCCCAGAAGAACCTCATGCTTCCTCCACAGTATTTGTAGCAGCTTACAGTGAGAAAATCCTAATCATCTTTCCAGGCAGAGTGTAACACCTGTGGGGCCTGAGCTGGGCTCAACTGAATTGATCTTGCGTGGCTCTTTGGGACAAACCCCTGGCACTTCTGTGCTCTGAGGAGATGATACAGGAGAGCCAGCAGGTGTGGTCAGAAAGCAAGGGACGATGATCTATGGAGGGAGATCCAAGCACCCTGCTGTGCAGAGGCTCAGCAGCCATTTTCTCCTCCAGCTGAGGACTTCATGCAGCAGGCCAGCAGGAGGTGGGCAGCGTGAGCTGCACAGGAAGCGTCAGCAATTTTCCTATTTTCTGATGCCATCAGGTGGACAAATTCTGTAATGCAGCGGTTGTCTAGCACCTTTAGTGACCAGGACATTCTCCTGTCTCCACGGTTTTAGCTCCTGGCCATTCCTTATAAAAAATGGCCTTCTGCAAACTCTAATGAGATGTTTTCCAAGCAGGAAAAAAACAAAGATTAGCTGACTTGCCAGTACTTCCACTGTTAAAGCACATTCTGTAAATGCCAGTAGAGCTGTTGGAAAGAGTCTTGAAAGCATTTTTTAAGTCCTTGTTGGAGTTGGTACAGCGTGTGAAGTGAAGGACCTTCCATGACATTACTAATTTTTATTGGGGTAACTGGAACCAGCAATAAACAGAAAATTTACCACTACTAATGAGTAAGACTGGGACAGGCCACCTGCTCAACATCCAGCCAGGATCCTTGAATGCTTATCATAGAATCATGGAACAGTTTGGGTTGGAAACTTGAAGATTATCTAGTTCTAACCCCCCTGCATGGGCAGGGACACCTCCCACCAGATCAGGTTGCTAATTATACAATTTAAAAAGTAATTTCTTTGTAGTGACAATTTCCAATGAAGATGAAGCCACAGAAGATGAATTTGCCAGTAGTGGTAGTGGACATAATTACAGGAAACATGTTACAACGAGGAACAGTGTTCTCTGATTAATTCCTGAGGTTCTCTAAGGTCAAGCTGACTTTCACAACTGTCAGCCAGTGCACAATATCTGTCACAGAAAAAATAAGCATAGAAATAGCTAAATTTCACTTAATTTCAGACAGCATTTATTGAAATCCAGAATGCTTATTGGTTTGTCAGTTCTAGCAACATATCTATTGCTCTGCTGCTGCCATCAATACTGGTATAGACTTTTATGCAGGGGATCACTCAGAAGCCCAGAGGTACATCAAAGAGAACACTGTTGGGTTAATTTGCCTAGATGAGCAATATTATTTAATTGCCCTCCCAACAGATAAACAGAGTTCTCATTCAAAAAGGACAAAATCAAAGAACCAAAGTGTCTTACAGCACCCATCTCTTGCTAAAGAATTATATATAATCTGATTACATGGAGGGAAGGAGAAACAAGGACTGCCTCTGTCAACCATCCTGCACTAAAAATGAAGCCCAAAAAACACTGCTGGATGAATACAGGGGGAAGGAAGGGGATCTCCTGCAGAAAGCCTAGCCAAAGAATACTTTTTTGCTCCTATCTGGTCAATCTCTAGCTGTAGGGAAGTATACAAGACACTGATCGTTAAGAATAGCCCATTCATTGAACTACCTGAAAGATATGGTGCACTCATCTGGAACAAAGCTCAGGCTGCTTCAGTTTCTAGCCCAGGGGAAGTGCTGCTACAAAGAAGAAAGGGCCCTGTTTGCAGTGAAGGGAACTACAGGAGCAAAACCAGCACCTCAGCCTGGGAAAGCATTGCCTATAGAGGCCACAGGGTCTAAGCAGAAAGGGCTTCTTGCTTCCTTGCATGCATCTCATTGTGACAGTTCCAGATGAAATCATTGTTTCCAAAGGTGCATGGAAGTTAGTACTGGGAAAATACCCTGTTTTCTCTCAAGGTGATGCTCCTTGTGCTTCACAAGGAATGTTCCTGTTCCTCACCCCAGTGAATTGGATTTTGCTGTTTCTAAGATGGGGAAAAAATTTTCTCCACATCACTCCCATGTCCACAGGCCATTTTTTCACATAGCAGCTAAAGTCCAACGACAGTTGCTTCTGGGCTTATGGGTCATTAAGTTGGGCTGAGGATGTGCCAGCCCCACTAGAAAGTTATTTCTGTTCAGCCATTATTGATGGTGCAGGCAGAATACATGCAATTCCAGCTGTGATCCGAAGCTATATATGGAAAGAGAGCATGCTCCCCAAAATCAGTGGACTGCAGCAGCCCAGAGGAGCCTGGGAGTTTGGATATATAATTCAGAAGCAGGTGGATTTGATATGTATCTATTCTCTGAATCCCTACTTTGAATTTCTGCTGCTCTGCATCATCTGAACTCTTCGTTTCAGACAACAGAAAACAAATTCTGCATTTACATCTGTCTTTCATGGCTGCCAAAACCCAGTGAATGGAGCATAGAAATTGGAACAAACTATTGGCTTTGTTCTGACCCTCTCCAGCCCCAAAACATCACCAATTTCTTGGCATTGCTACAGTTCTTTCCTTACCAATCACTCTGTTTGCCAAGCAAATTGCTGCCTCAACTGTGTTTTCTTCCACAACTTCATCAACCAGACCAAGCTTCAGTGCTTCAGTTGCTGAAATGTGTCTTCCTGTGATAAACAGATAAATAAGATGACTACAATGGAACATAATGGGCAATTTCTTTCTTTTCCACCCGATAAAATGACTTCTGTGTAGCTGGCTTCAAATATGAGACATGCTCATCCTCAGGTACACAAAATGCATTCACTAACTACGTGCCTCAGAAGCACGAATGCCCCTTTCTGAGCCCCTTTCATGAGTGGAAGCCAGCTGAATTTCAACTCAAGCTACAGAGTCACAGAACTGTCAGGGTTGGAAGGAACCTCTAGAGATCATCCAGTCCGACCCACCCACTAAAGCAGGATTGCCCAGGGCACATCCCACAGGATTGCACCCAGGGGGCTCTTGAGTATCTCCAGAGATGGAGACTCCACACCCTCCCTGGGCAGCCTGTCCCAGGGCTCTGCCACCCTCACCATAAAGAAGTTTCTCCTCATATTTCACTGGCACTTCCCACATTCCAGCCTGTGCCCATTGCCCCTCGTCCTGTCCCTGGGCACTGCTGAGCAGAGTCTGGCTCCATCCTCCTGCACCCACCCTGAGATACCTACAGGCATGAACAAGGTCTCCCCTCAGCCTCCTCCTCTCCAGGCTGAACAGCCCCAGCTCTCCCAGCCTTTCCTCATCAGGGAGATGCTCCAATCCCCCTGTCATCTTCATCACCCACCCCTGGACTCTCTCCAGCAGTTCCCTGTCTCTCTTGAACTGGGGAGCCCAGAACTGGTCCCAGTTCTCCAGATGTGGCCTCACCAGGGCAGAGCAGAGGGGTAGAGTGACCTCTCTCAACCTACTGGCCACACTCTTCCTCATGCACCCCAGGATTCCATTGGCCTTCTTGGCCACAAGGACACACTGCTGGTTCATGGACCATTTACTGTCTTACCAGGACTCCCAAATCCTTCTCCTCTGAACTGCCTTCCAGCAGGTCCTGCCCTAACCTGTACTGGTGCTTGGGGTTCTTCCTTCCCAGGTGCAGGACCCTGCACTTGCTCCTACTGAACCTCATGAGGTTCTTCTCTGCCCAGCCCTCCAGGCCATAGGTAAAATAAATTCATGTTATCTTGGAGGAAGCTGGTGGTGTGACCCAGTGCCATCCTCTTAGACAGAGCAAGGCCAAGGCCCAGTACTTTACCTGTAGTGATTAGATCCAGAGCAGCTGGTACCCCAATCAGTCTGGGCAGTCTCTGAGTGCCTTCACCACCTGGAAGTAACCCAATGGTGACCTCTGGTAAACCCAGCCGGGCCTAAAATGAAGTCAAATTCAACAACAAATCTAATTAGAGTGATAATAACAAACTGAGCAGAACAGAGGAAAGTCAAGCAGACCTGATTCACACACTGCTCCTTAGGAAGCCTCAGAACTTCTACATAGAAACTCCATCCTTGCTTTTTGCCATGTAAGACATTGACACAAAAGCTTACTCGACCATTCTGGGGGCTTGTGGACAAATGCAGAGGGAAAACATCACCTTTCTGTGAGGAGAGGGGTGCTAGCACAGCACAGGAGAGCTACAGGGCCAACAGCACCCCCCAGACTGACATGTGTAACTTCAAGCAGTTGTTACCAAATGCTAGTGGGCACTCTGTGACCTCACTGCTACCTTCTTGCTCTAATACTTGGAAGTTTAGTAAAGGAAAATTGGTACCACTCACAGACTGAACTTTTCCCTGATTTTCTTTCAAATGGCTCTTGGTGCACGTAACATGTAGTGTGGTTATGGCAGAGAAGGCAGGGGCAGCAGGAAGGGAGGTCCTGTCTTAAAAAGCTATCTAGATTTTTTTGTCTCATTTAAAAAAAAAATACATTGCATCTTTCCCATTGAGGTCTTAAGACATTTGGAGTCAATTTAAGACCACTACTTATGGCATCCACCCTAGGTGGCAGAAAGGTGATTAGAACACCTCTTTATGCTGTTACAGCAACCCAGAGTGCTGGAGAAACAGTGATTCCCAGGGCAGAAGTGAGGGTATGGCTCTTCAGTGAAGAGATTCTACAGGGAGACCAGGCACTGCCTGAAGATGGCTCAGCATTCCTGAATCTTGAACGAGCGGATTCTAGAAAACAGACTGATCACTCTTTAAAAGACTCTTGAAGCTGTCTGTTGGTCAGAGTGCTCTGAGGTCCCAGAGCTCTTGAGGAATCAAACCATAAATACTCTGTGCCAGCTGAATTTCAACTACCTGTTCAAACCAGGCCACTACCAGAAAGAACTGCAAAATTCACAGGACTAGGGGGAAAATAAAAGTAAGGGAAAGTCACACTGTGAGAGCCAGTAAGACACAGTCATCTTCTTCACAATATAGATAATGGCTGCTGAGAGCCAGATGAAATGAACACTTGCTTACTGCTGTCTCTGTGCAGCCATCTTATTCTACTAGTTACAAATCAATTTTATAAATGGCTTGAAATTAGTTATTTAATAAGGCTTAAGAAAGCCTGTCATGGGTGGTGTTGCAGGCAAAGAGTCCCGTAGGTACAAATTCCCCCTCCTCTGGGCAGAGGACCTCAGGAGAGCCACGCTGTCCTGCTGCCCTCCAGGACATCCCACCCTGTCCATGCCCATGGGTAGATGTCTGGTGATGCCTTCACCAGCCTCTCTAGCTTGGAGCACGTGTTACCTTCACATGTGCCACCCGGTAGTGGCAGCCAAGTGCCACCTCCAGGCCTCCTCCCAAGGCAACACCTTCAATGGCAGCCACCACAGGCTTCCTGCTCTGTTCTATGAGAGAGACAAGGTGCCCCAAGCCAATACCACGTCTCCTGACAGAAGAAAATCCTCGGATGTCAGCTCCTGGGTTAGCACAAAGAGATGAAGAGGAGTCAGTGGGGAAGGCAGTGACTGGAATGATCCTTCCCTCTGTGCCACTGAACAGTGCTGCTCACAGATGATCAGGTCCTTGCACAGCCTGCTGCTAGCAGGAGACTGGCTAACAGGAATCGACCCCTTTTGGGATCACCTTCAAGGAACCCAGCTCCTTCAGCCCCTTCAGAGAGTTCAATGTAGTTGGGCCAAGTACACAAATAGATGGGAATTGTCATGATCATGCATTTACTACAGAAATGGTGAGTGTGGAATAGTTAAGTGCAAGTTCCCACTAACAAGCAGTGTAGAGCTCCACAGAAATTCCCTAGCTTCCCAGGCTTCTACAACTGGAGATGCGTTGTTCAGCACTGCCCCACCCCAGGTATGGTCCCCACACTGGTCCAGTTGATGGCCCAGAGATGGAAGCACCATCAGGGAGATGAGCAGCTGTCCCTCATTCCAAATCTGCCTGGATGCCATCCTCTGCAACCTGCTCTAGATGACCCTGCTCTGGCAGGGACACACACACTAGATGATCTCCAGAGGTCCCTTCCAACCCTGACCATTCCGATTCCAGGATGAACATGCCAGCTTGTTTCTGGTGGAATAGCAAAAGCCAGTTGTCTTGTGGCCATTTCCAGCCAAATCAAGACTGTTCTCAGCAGTGTTATGAGGCAGAGAATTTTCAGGCATGGTGGGTGGAGAGTGTTTCCTGTTTTTCTTGGGATGTGTTTGATGAAAAATGTCTTACCTGCACTGAATTTCCCATTTTTGCCATAAATCATAACAGCTTTCACTGAAGGATCTGCATCTGCTCTCTTCAGTCCATCCTCTAATGCCTGGAGAACTGACAAACTGAAAAAAATCAGAGATTCAGTGAATAACAATCAACTACATTACCTTTCCAAGAGGTGTGTGTTATAAACACCAAGTGTCCCAGTGAAAATGAGCAGTAAGTTCAAGCGGGTCTCTTCCCTGTGTCTTCTGCCACAGAGATTCACTCTCCAGGTGAATCCTCTCCTTAGTCTCCCTCTTCTTTCAAGGGGAGGCATCAAAATCCAACAAGCTTATGACTGATGACCTGTCATTTCCTTCCTGGAGAGCTTCTGGCAATGACATTGCTGTTTCCAAAGCAAGGAAATGTTCTTTTGAAAATGTCTTTATGAATTAAACATGCAGATTTTGAGGAAAATAGTTTAGCATAATTTTAAAGTAATTAATGTCAAAACCACTGGCAATCTAATAACTTTTTTTAAAGGGAAAGGAGTTCCAGGGATAAAAACCTATCTTTCCAAAACCTGACCCAGAGTCGGTGCTGTGCTGATGATCATAATGCTTTCACCTTGTGAAAATCTGTATATAGGTCCAGTCTTAAACTTGTGTGGGATCTGTCCAAATGAATTTGGGCCTAAGACACCACATAGAACATTGTCCTTGTCTCATCTGCCCATATTTCCACAGGCACAAGCAGTAAACAAGGCCAGCAAAGAATCAGTGAAGAAGTTCAAAACTGAAGGGTCAAAGTATAAATTTTTATAAATCAAATGTTTAAAAAATCTGACCAGACTGTATGCCCACTTGGCATTTGAAGTTTAGAAGCTAATTATACATGTGTGTGTGGATGGACATGGAGAGTCTAGTCTTTTAGAAGACTAAAGAGAATGGTAGGTAAAAATAGCATTACCACCAAGCACTTCCTTAATAGAAATATTATCACAAATTGTGTGTATCTATAATTTAGCTACTAAACTATATGAATACACACACTTGTATGTAAGTGAATGTATGGTTTGTGAGGCAGACTTTTCTGTGTGCTTATGTCTATACATAAAACACATGTAGATAATGCCTCTCGTTCAGGAAATCTAAGCCACAAGGGGTGTCACACATGCTTGCCCTGTCCTTTATAAATACCATTTCTGCTCCTAGACCTTCCCCAAGCTGTGAGGCCAGTAAGCTTGCTGGCTCATGGAAAGGGAGAAGAGCCCTGTTAGTGCCCAGTGGAGAGGAGTGTGAATTAAAAGGAACTGATGACAGAATCATAGAATATTAGGGACTGGAAGGGACCTTTAGAGATCATCTAGGCCAGCCACCCTGCTAAAGTAGGATCACTTAAGGCAGGCCACAGATAAATGCATCAGGCAGGTTTTGAAAGTCTCCAGAGAAGGAGACTCCACAACCTCCCTGGGCAGCCTGTCCCAGGGCTCTGTCACCCTCACAGTAAAGAGGTTTCTACTCATGTTGAGGTGGAACTTCCCATGTTCTAGCTTATACCCTTTTTTCCTTGTCTTATTACTGGGCACCACCAAAAAGCGATTGGCCCTTTCCTCTTGACACCCACCCCCCAGATATGTATAGACATTAAGATCCCATCTCAGCCTTCTCTTAAGACTAAACAGCCTCAGGTCTCTCAGCCTTTCTTCACAGGAGAGATGTTCAAGTCCCTTTATCATCCTTGTAGCTCTCTTTTGGACTCTCTCCAGTAGACCCCTGTCTCTCTGGAACTGGGGAGCCCAAAACTGGATACAGTATTCCAGGTGTGGTCTCACCAGAGCAGAGGGGGAGGAGAACCTCCCTAGACCTGCTGCACCCACCTTTCCTAATGCACCCATAGAAAGGCCTGATGCTTGCTTTGTGTTTTTCAGTACACTTGAGGGCATTTCACTTAAAAATAAGTCATAGATGTAAAATATCATCGCTGTACTCGTGCACTGGTTCTCAGTGTGTCCAGGGTGGGTGATGCCATGTTTATAGGAGGCAGCAGCTTGCTACAGTGGAAATCCAAAGGCTGAGGAGGAAAAGCAGGTGATTGTGGGCAGGTTGCTGTGAGGCAGCTGTGTGGAGCTCTGCCAGCCATTCCTCCTTCTAAATCAACAACTGAGAGAAGCTATTAGCAAAGTTTATTAATCAGGGCTGTTGGCTGAGGGGAGAGCTGGGGGGCTGCCTAGAAGGTCTCTGGAATCAGCTGCTGCCTGGGTAAGGCCATGCTCCACAGCAGGATCAGTGGGAGCCTTGAGACCTGGCAATCAGAGACTGAGAAGTGTTATTTTTGGGGAGAGAACAGCTGGTTATGCACCAATTGTCTCCTCCAGACATCAAAGGCAGCTCTGAAGTCTGACATCAGTAGTGGGTCTGAAAGTTGAAACTTAAAATGAGAATAATTTGGCCATGACAAAGAAAAACTACTAGGTGACTCAGTAAAGGTACTTCCAGTGTGTATACTTCCATGTAGCAGAACATAAAAGCCTTTCCCTTTTAATAAATGGTTTCATATTATGTAGGAAAAATTACATATTAAAATGTTGGGTTTTATCTCATTCCCTGTGGAATCAAGTGCTGTGGCTGCTGCTGTGTGAGTAGGACCCACGGGCTGCACCCAATGCTCACTGCTCTTAGAGCTCTGTTTTTGCATCAGTGGGGAGGCAGGCCATAGAAATACTGAACTCACCTGCAGCTGGAAGATGAAAGGGAAAGCCATTAAGAAATGCCATTAGACTTCACAAACCATGGTGTAAAGAGGGGGGAAAAATATGAACCAGGATTCTGAACAGATGTTCGAGTACTGAGTTGAAAATATTCTCTAGAAAAATGGCACAGTTCCCTCAGGAACAGACAAGAAGCAATCAAATCATTCCTGTGTGTTGCAGGCACATGATCAGCAGGCACAAAGTGCCCACATAAAAGGCTTGTCTGTAATAACTAGAAAGCTTCAGGATTTTCTGTAGGAAATCAGTTATTAGCCCTTAGTACTCAAAACATACTCCTACCACAAGTAAAATTAGTCATCAAGGTTGCAAAAACATAACAGTTCAATCCCTACATGACCTGTGTTAATACAACAGAACTATTTTTGCCAGAATAACTTGACCCTGCACTTCATAAATATTTCTTCCTCCATGCAGTTTTATCCCAGTGGGATTTTTTGTGGGTCAAAATGGAAGAAACATCAGACTTTCTGCAGTTTCTTCTTCTCCTAAGATGGAGCAGTGAGTTTGCATCAGGGTATGTTACAGTCCAACACGGAGGCTGCCTTGTAACTCATGTTACAACTGGTATTGAACAGTAACATCTTTGATGAAAGCATCATAGTAGAATGTATGACAGTAAAACTATAAACATACTCCAGCGTGTCACAGCTTCAAACAGCTAGAGCATTAAGAAAACAAAAAGTCACTCCAATTTGCATACGTGTTTCATCACAGAACGGTCATGGCTGGAAAGGACCTCTGAGATCACCGAGTCCAACCACAAAACAAACAAACCACCAAAAAACCCTGCACAAACACCCAATCTACAATCTCAGCCACTGGGGCATGTCCTGAAGTGCCAGATCTACACGTTTCTTGAATCCCTCCAGGGATGGTGACTCCACCACCTCCCTGGGCAGCCTGTCCCAGTGCCTGACCACTCTTCCAGTAAATAACTCTTCCTCATCTCCAGTCTGACCCTCCCCTGGTGCAGCTTCAGGCCATTTCCTCTGGTCCTGTCATTATCCAATCAGGAGAAGAGGCCAACACCTCCTCACTACACCCTCCTTTCAGGAAGCTGTGGAGACCAATGAGGTCTCCCCTCAGCCTCCTCTTCTCCAAACTAAACACCCCCAGGTCCCTCAGCTGCTCCTCGTATGACTTGCTCTCTAGACCCTTTACCAACTTTTTTGCTCTTCTCTGGACACAGTCCAGCACTGTGACAGTGTCCTTCATTTAGCAGGAATAATGCAAAAAATTAACTCCATGGATTCCAATCAACACTTAATCCCATGCCATGCTGTCAGCTCCACCAGGTAGACTCTTTTGACTGCAAAAAAAGATGATTCCGTGTCATGGGTTTCAGAAACGCAGCCCGGGTGCTGGTCAAGACCATGTGCAAACCAGGGCAAGAGAACAAGCTTGTAGGTGACCACACATGGTTATTTCTGTTTTACATAAAACTCATGGCAGTGATGATGGGCTGGATTTGTAACAAGGTTTTATTAGTTACCTTAATAATTTCAGATCTTAGTTGGGGTTTGTGAATGTCATCTTTTTTCATTAAAAAAAAACAAAACAAAAAAACCAACAAAAAACTATTCAAGGGAATCCTGAAAATTAACATGGTCATGTTAGAGAAAAGAAGTCAAAGAAGTGAGACTAAAATCCAACAGTAGAAAATGTTGTTTCTGGGAAACATGCAGGTCTGATTCTTCCCCAACATCCACAGTCACTGCGTTGGGGATGTTGCTGTGTGCATCTAGGTAGGTGAGGCTGGAGCAGAGCAAGAAAAAACCCAGCAGCCTCTTAAAAAAGCATCTGTGCCTGCTGAGGCATTAATTTTTCCTGATCACAGGAGATGGCTCCTGTTTTTAACTTTCACTGCCTGCTATCACGTATGTAGTCCAACATTTCCAACAGCAATCACAAACCTGCTTCCCTAGGGCCCAGTACCTAAAGCAGGCAGAAGCAGACAGAACACACCAGAATCAGTCTGTTACACCTTTCCTCTAGTCCACCTATAGCCAGGTCTCAGCTAAAAACCACCTGATGGCAAGCACAAGATAATTATTGATTCCTTCTAAGACAGTTATTGCCCTGACACACGATCACAGACCACAGGAATGTCTCAAGACAGAGCTTTAAGGCAGCTGAACTGATTTAAATCCATGCTGTGGAGCTTCCCAGCCTTCCCCATGGGCTCCTACTCTGTCCCTGGTGCCAGCAGCGCTCGTCGTGCAGTCATACCAGGAGCTGATGCAGAGTCAAGCTGGCTGACAAACCAACCCAACCCAACCGGCTGATGTCTCAGCCCATTTGCACCCTGAGGGGGGTTGTTGCCAGTCAGAGAGCACCAATGCTAGCACAGGCTGTGAGGAACCATGGCCAGGAACACAGCAGTACCACCTTAGGCTGTGTTATGGTGATATGGAGCTCATCATGAGGGAATGAACCTACATGGGTGAAGTAAGTACTGGGGGTCTCTCAGGGGCCGCTGGCTGTGGGGCTGTCATCAGGCAAAGTGAGCAGCACTCAATGGAAACTGCCTTTTCAATGGATCTAACAGGTCTTATTTCTTCCCTCCCAGGGTTGGGAGACAGGACCACAGCCACTCTGTCTGTTAGTCTTGGTTTGTCAGAAGGGCACGCTGCTGCAAGGGCACTGACAGGTGGCAGAGGCAGGGGTCTGTCCTGCAGAGGCTGTTGTGCAGGTGCACCCAGCTGCTGTTTGAAGGCAACTTTATAAAGGGTTTTATCAAGGACTTCTCAAAAAGAGACGGGGTTAAGGCTCCTTAAGCACCTCTGTATTTTGTACTTTTTGTGGTAAGAATGGAAAGTTTACTGTGGGCATAGCCTGCAGGTTTTCTTAGACTGGCCTTGAGCACAGGAGGTCCAAGGGATGTCTTGCTCCTACATTTTTAGTTCACCTAATATCAAGTTTGTTTTCTCCTAGTTATCTGGGCACAAGAAAAGGAGCTTGCTCCACTTCTAAACATGTTGCAACAAGAGTGAGCACTGCCAGTTAACGCACAGCAGCAGGTTCTACTTCCTACTCATGCTCTTCTCACTTTCAGCTTCTTGTTAACCAACTTTCTGGTTTACACGTTGAGCATAATTGCAGTGGATTTTTTTGGCTTGTGAATATACACCGAGTAGACACTATGGTCACTGTTACAGAATAGCTCTTTGACTACAGCTGCTTAGAAACGGCTTACGTGGTGCTCAGAACTTAAGGAACTAAAAGCCACAACTGATAACAAACTCTGTAAAACATGAGGAACTAAAAGACACAACTGATAACAAACTCTGTAAAAGCAAAAAGCACATATATCCTTCTCAAAACGTGAGAAACAAAAACCTCAGGGGCTTCCACAGATTTGTGTTTGACTCCTGCTTTTCAGCCGCTCATGTTTTGAGATCGCCTGGGGTCTTTCTCGACCCAGAGCTGCAAGAGGCCAATTCCTCACTCATTTTTAAAAGGCAGCTGAGCTGCCTTTGCTCCAGACAGCCCAGGCTGTGGTTTAACCTGGGTGGCAGCCCCTGTGGCCGAACCACACCTGCTCCCCACAGCGCCCTTTGCCCTGGCCCCAGGGAACTGCCCAACAAATCTGGCAAATCTGAGAGGAAAAACCTGGTTTCCACCCACGGGCTCTGCAGGAGCTGCGGGGTAGAGAGGCTGAGCAGCTAAGGCTGCCGA